CCCTGCTCCTCACACAGTGACTGCTGTATGGGCACCAGTGGCCCCTGTGACCCTGAAAAGAAGAAACAGGTAAACAGGATGTATGTAAGTATGTATGTATGTATGTATGTATGTAAAAACAAAACAGTAAATCTTGTTTGTTTTTTCTTACTACATCCAGTAAGATGAATTGACTACAGTGGCAGCTACAGATTTACACACAAGTGCTGATAGACAAAAACCTCACAGTGGTTCCTGCCGCAGAGCGGTGGTTAATCCAGTGATTAATCATCTTTCATCATATATCATCCTCCCTGGATTATTGACAGAAAGCCCACAGGGTAGCATCTGATATGGTCAAAAAAAAAGTTAGTGCCCAGGAAAACTATTGAAAATTATATTATTGTTTTACATTTTAATGAAAATGTTACAGCAGCTCTTTTCACTAGGCTGTAGATGACTGCCACTCATCACTGTGACTGCAGATAATATGAGCAATTATAGTATGTCTTTCCTTTAGTGATAGATAAAGCACTCAAGAGTGAAACTGTCTGTTACTGTTTTAAATCTAAAGCCAGCAGAAAATCCTTGGTCAACATCAGAGTTCGATTATGTATTCACTTCCAAACAAACTGGACTTTCTAAGCAAATAAACTAGAGTTTAATTAAAGCAAACTAAACAGGGTCCTAAGTCTTGTCCCTGCTAAAACTGGCTCATCAATCTGGTCAGAATCAAACTTTATTTCTCCAACCTGAGATAATTTACAGAATTACCTACGGCAGGTAAGATACTTATTGTTAGCAACCTTTCCACAGAACCCCACTTTTGAACTATCACTTTAAAGTGCTTGTGACATGCCTATTCTTCAAATACAACAAGTCAAAGAAAACATCTTTATTCTTAAGAAAACTGGCATAGTACACATGATTTTTACACATTTTCTCTTCTCATAACTGGCCTATTTTCATTTGGAGCCAAAGTGAAACAGGAAGTGACATCAAAGGGGAACTCTTTAATAAATAAACTCTCTGGTCTTTGTTTATTAAAAGATTAACTTTAACTCTTCTTCATCCCTCTTTGATAGAAACTCAAAATAATCTAAAGAAACATCAGATTCTTCTCACAGTCTCTGTTGTTAGCTGTTGTAACAATGCTCTGTTTACATACAGACATTCCCCTTTGACATCACTTCCTGTTTCTTCACATGCAAATATCTAAACTGTTCATCTCAGTGGCATGAAATTTGTTTTGCAATATTTTATCAATGTTCTCTTTCCAAAAMATGCATTCATTTTTATTGCAAAAATTGATGTCACAGACACTAAGAAATATTGGCTTGTAAACACCAATAAACTAAAACAAAGTTATAAAGAAAACTGGTAAAAATTGTTTCAACGTTTATGAAAGAGTAATAAATTCAAGTTAGTTCTATAAGCAAATTTGGGGCGTTTACTTTTTCATCTATGGAATCTGATTTTTGACTGTTTTTATTTTTTTAGTCACACCATAGTTTTTAAATGACATTAAATAATGTTCATACACATTTGGACAGTAGGCCTTCCCAGTCTTCTGCACGTACAGGCTGTGTACGTGCAGAAGACTGAGCAGACCGCAATGAATTTATTCTGATACCTTTGTTCTGCGGCGTGTGCGTGCCGAGTTGCACGAATATGTGTGTGGGAGTGCTGGACAGGAAATGTAAAGGTTTAGGTAAGGTCCTTGGAAACAAAGGCTTCGCCATCGCATCTAGCCTTTTCTTTTTTTATAAGCCAATACTCCTGTCACTGTGACTGTAACACTCAGGAGGAAACATGTCCGAGCTGCCACCCACACATTTCCCTTTACCTTAAGGCCTGACTGATCCTGAATAAGTTATTTCTTATGAAACATTTTGCTTAGAAACTGTTACAGAGCAGAAAATAAAACACAGGTGAAGCAAGCCATTCTTTTTTACAGCTCTGACTACAAGAGAGCCAAATTCCTCCATGACTCACTGACCCAATGACATAAACTGGTCCCCACTTACTTTCATTTCTCGCCTCACTTTCAGTCATTAAAACTCCCTTTATGTGGCCTCGGTTAGGGTCAGGTTACTCTTATTCATGCCTGCCCCACCTATTGAAGATTGATTTGATTTGATTTGATTTGTTGATTTAACAGGAAAAGATTATTAAAAATCAAGCCTGACTCAGCATAATTGCTGTTTTACAGCAGGTTCCTGTTCTGCAGCACATAAAACACTCAGAAATACAGCATCACAATCACATCATTACACACCATAGATACAAAGACAAACAAGCATACCAAATTTCAGGAAGGCAGCATTTGCAAAATAGGACGTCTAAATATGAGCACAACAAAAAGTGTCCAGCAGATGGCAGACAAGATTCTTCTTAAAGGGCTGTAGTTTTGAAATGGACTTTATGTTTTGAGGAAGATTAGTGACTTTATTTAGTGTTTACATGTATTCATAAAAATAATACTATTAATCTTTTTTAACTTTAAAAAAATATTTGCATCACCCTTTGGTCATATTGTTCTTAGGTTAGTCTAGTTATCGTTTAGTACCCTAATATAAAAAAGAAATGAAAACAAACCATTAAGGAGGGGGTAGTGTGTAATTTAAGGCACACAGTTCAATTCTATGCCACTATCAAATAATTATGTTACCTTAAGTTGTTGTGAAAAATCTGTCTATTTAAAGAATTAACTTGACTTTGCATCATAGTCTAACTAAACACCTTGAAATTGGCCTTTGTCTCTTTAAGAACCTGCTACCATTTCAGACACTCCCATTTCAGCAAGTTTTCACTACAATGCTTCGGGGAAGGGGTGTATTTAAACTTTTGACTTTGAAGAAAGTAATAAAAACGTCCTTAAAAAATCTCTCTCTCTCTCATTATTCTGACATTTAGCAAATAGAAAAATGTGTTGGTAAACCTAATTGACCTAAAACTTGAAAAGTTTCTTCTGATTTCACGTCAGACAGGGTGAATAAAAATGCTAATGGGTCTTTTTTTGTGTGTGTGGTGTGTGTGTGTGTGTGTGTGTGTGTGTAAACTTCTGGTTTCAACTGTAAAAGGGAAATTACCACATAATTGTAATCCAATCTGTACGATGACAACGAACAAACTGTTCCTCTCAGGAAGCACAATAACTGTCTGGTACCATCATCTTCCAAGAGACTGGTTCCAAGGAAAACGCTGATATTAGAAAATCTATTTAAAAAATTAGACATTGCAAGACATTAGAAAACCTTGCAATGACGATATTTGTAAACATTGTGATGACGGTATCTTTTTTTATCCCTTTCTAACTTGTTCCTATTTTATATGTGACCTATATTAGTCAACAATTATTGCATTCCAAGCAGTCCTCTGTGATATGAATATTGCACACACTGATATTGCGAAGACGATATATTGTGCAGCCCTACCCTGATGTCAACAAGAGCCTGTCAGGTCTGAGCTGTGAAGCTAGCAGCTGTGACATCGGACTGCATGTCTTCGAGCTCCTTTTCATCTGACCCCTAAATCCTTGAAGGCTTCACTAGACCGAGACAAAGCTCCGACTTCAGCCTTTAAAGTTTCTTTCTTTCATATATACGTGCGTCACAGATCAGTAAAATTCCAGCACATGGTTACATGCCAAATGTAAAATCCTGCTTAATATACTAAAATTAAAAATCTAATAAATCAAATAATCAGTGAATTCGAGTCAGAGAACATGAGCCATTTTGTGTGTTTTTTTTTAAGGTCATGAACAACAACACCAAATGTACCCCCTGATCTCAGCATGACTGTTTTGTGAAGTGTTGTGTCTCAGCTAACATCTGCCAGGATAGTTGTTTGGTAAAAAAAAAAAACAACAACATATTTCTTCTTTAATTTTCAGTTCCTGTTTCTAAAAATGCTTTCACAGTTATCATTTCCTCAGATCTCGTCTGTTCTGTCCCTTTATTGACCCACCTGCAGCCACTGTGGCTATCACACCCACCTTCCCTGCTACATAAGCACTGTGATCATCTCAGGTTGTTGTTATATCATTTACCTTTGCTCAGATTTGTCTACGGTGTTTGCAGGTGTTTCTTTCTGGAAATCTCTGCTTAGGTCCTGGCAGCTTTTCCCAGTTTTGTTTGTTGTCTTGTCAATAAAGGTCATTAAGGATTCTACACCGACCCCTTACCTTAAGTCCTGCATTGAGGCCTTCCTGATTGCTCAGCATGACACTTTCAGGTCTGAGGCACCGCATGTCTGTATTAAATTAAATACATAATTCAGTCCTAACAATGCAAAGCATCAAAAATGTGTCATTAGGAAAAGCAAAACTCTTCTAATAACTCACTTTCAAACATTCTCCAGACACATTTGTCACTACATGTTCTTACTGTTGAGTCTTTGGTGTTGCACTGTACAGCTGCTGCTTCTCACCTAAAATATAGATAACACAGAAGGTAATTATTAGGTTATTAACAGTAAGTATACTGAAAATAGCACAATTGATATGTTAAAGTCAGCGCTTTAAAAATAAATGTATTGTTTGATTACCAGCACATTAAATCAAAGTTTTTGATTGCAGGATTTTTGAAACCATTAAAGCATTACAAGTACAAGTAAATCCCATATGTGACCCAGTAATAATAATAATAATAATAATCTGATAAAGAATGTATTAGTAATAAGTATAATAATTAAAAGAATAAAACTTAAGCACAGAAACTGACCTTGAATAAATCCATTCAGAAGCATCATTAAAGCAGACAGAATTTTAAAGCTTCTGGATTTAATGAAATGGTTTAAAGTGATGACTGAAACTTCAAGCAGCTCATTCAGAAACTTTGCAGCTGTCACAGTAAAAGCTCGCTCACCTTTGGTTTTTCACCAGGTTTCAGGCACAGATCAGATTCCTCCACCTGGTTCCTCTCAGAGACCATGGAGGTTGATCTTATAGGAGGAGCTCAGATATTCTTTAAAGCTGGAAGAGTTTTCAGTCATCAGGAAACTTTTAAACTCAATTAGTTTAGTTTTAGTTTCAGGTTTTCTGACATCAAGCGTTAGATGTTTTCACAGTGAAGCAGTGAACTTGATGAAACACACACACAAATATATATATATACACACACACACACACACACA